CTCTTTTTAATTTTTGAGGAAGCTCCATACTGTTTTTCATAGTGGCTGCACCAACCTGCATTCTCACCAGCAGTGAACTAGTGTTCCCTTTTTTCCACATCCCGCCAGCATTTGTTGTTAATTTTTTTATGATAGCCATTCTGATAGGTGTGCGATCGTACCACACTATCATTTTGATTTGCATCTCTCATATGATTAGTGACTTTGAGCATGTTTTCATGTCTTTTGGCCTTCCGTATGTCTTCTTTCGAAAAGTATCTGTTTAGGTCTGTTGCCCATTTTTTTGATTGGACTGTTTATCTTCCTTTTGCTAAGTTGTATGAGTGCCCTATACAACTTATAGAAGGGTTTGGAGATTAAACCCTTATCAGTGATAACATTGGCAAATATGTTCTCCCATGCAGTGGGCTTTCTTGTTGTTTTGCAGGTTTCTTTTGCTGTGCAGAAGCTTTTTATTTTGATGTAGTCCCATTTGTTTATTTCCTCTTTAGTTTCCATTGCCCTATAGCTGTATCAATAAAGATATTGCTACAACAAATGTCTATTTTGCTGTCTATGGCTTCTTCTAGGATTTTCATGATTTCTTGTCTTAGATTAATGTCTTCCATTTGTTTATGTCTTCTGCTCTTTTTTCAGCATCCTATAATTTTCTGAGTACAGGTCCTTTCCCTTTTTGGTTAAACTTATTCCTAGGTATCTTAGGTTTTTTTTTTGCAATGGTAAACAGGATTGTTTTTTTAGTTTCTCCTTCTGTGAGTTCATTATTGGTATATAAAAAGCCATAGATTTCTGGGTATTAATTTTGAATCCTGCTACATTGCCGTATTCATTTATTATTTCTAGTAGTTTTTTGATGAAGTCCTTAGGATTTTCTATGTACAATATCATATCATCTGTAAATGACAATTTTACTTCTTCTTTTCCAATTTGGATGCCTTTTATTTCTTCTTCTTGTCTGATCACTATGGCTAGCACCTCCAGTACTATGTTGAACACAAGTGGTGAAAGTGGACATCCCTGTCTTGTTCCTGTTCTTAGGGGAAATAGTTTTAATTTTTGCCCATTGAGTATGATGTTGGCTGTAGGTTTGTCATATAAGGCTTTTATTATGTTGAGATATGGTCTCTCTATTCCCACTTGGAAGTGTGCCTTCCTCTTGAATTTTTTGAAATAGTCTGCGAAGGACACGTTTTATTTCTTCTTTGAATGTGCGAAGGACAGTTTTATTTCTTCTTTGAATGTTTGATAAAACTCTGCTGTGAAGCTGTCTGGTCCAGGGCTTTTGTTTGTTGGAAGTTTTTTTTTATTACTGCTTCAATTTCCTCCATAGATATGAGCCTATTTAGATATTTTTATTTCTCCTGGTTGAGTTTTGGAAGGTTGTATTTTTCTAGGAATAAGGTCACATTTCTTCTAGGTTGACCAGATTGTTGGGATAGAACTGCTCATAGTATTTTTTTATGATTCTTAGTATTTCTGTGGGTTCAGCTGTTACTTCACCTCTTTCATTTCTGATTTTATTTGGGTCCTCTCTTTGTTTCTTGGTGATCCTGGCTAGAGGTTCATCAATCTTGTTTATCCTTTCAAAGAACAAGCTCTTGGTTTCATTGACCTTTTGTATTGTTCTTTTGGTCTCTATGTTGTTTATTTCCACTCTTACCTTTATTATTTCCTTCCTTCTGCTCACTCTGGGCTTTTCTTGATGCTCTATTTATTACCATTTTTTTTCCGTTTTTTGAGGTAGGCCTGTAGAGCTATGAACTTACCTCTCAGGACTGTTTTCACTGTGTCCCATAGATTTTGGATTGTTGTGTTTTCAGGATGTTTTTAATTTCTTCTTTGATCTCTTTGGTAATCCAATCGTTGTTTAATAGCATGCTATTCAGCCTCCAAATGTTTGAGAAATTATCATTTCTTTTCAAAATTGAAAATGGAATAAAACTGCTGAAAATGAAGAGGAACTTTGGTCCACAGGCCTGATGTTAAACTTTTGTTTTGATTTTATTAACAAGCAACAGCTGCAGCCTTATTCATCTAAGTCTGTAGATAAAGACTTACCCAGAATTGGGGGAGACTAGTAAACTGAAATAGTCTGTCACTAACTGCCCAATTCCATGCAACAGGAACTTATGACTTCTATGTGCAGCATAATTTACCGTTCACCCCCCACCCCTGTTGTGTTCAGGCCACTCACTCTGTCGTGAAGGAAGATCAGAGCCAGTAGGATGTCGTAGATCCCGGCACAGACCTCAGGGGAGGACAGTGTTTCTAAGGCCACTTCCAGAGGCTGCACCCGCTCAGTGACCAGATGAATACCATCTGCCTCCACCGTGCAAGATAAGAATCTCAGCAAGCAGGGGTGCCGGAGTGTCTTCAGGTGCTTTAAAAGTACAAACAGAAGAGTCTGAGGTTAACGACTCAAACCCACATTCATACAGGACACAGGAAAGTTAAGAGATGGAGACTTGCATTAAAGCTCCTTTTCAGCTCCCTCCCTCCCCCCATATGTCAAATAAGGCAAAGGAGAATCTCGGACTTGCTGTGACTTTATCGACTTTACCAAGATTTAAATAACACTTCAGGGACGTCTAGTGCTATTGTGCAGTGTGAGCCCGACAGCCCAGACCTCCTGAGAATTACTGCTCTGAACTGGAAAGTGCCCAAAGCAACCACCTGACGCTGACAAGTAAAGGGAAGCATGCAGACTAGAGGGAGTCAACTCTGGGAAGAAGACCCAAGGGGTGAGTTTCCTTCACTTTTGCCTCCAAAGAAAATTCTTCATTTTGCTTTTCTGTCTTAGGGTCTAATTATTTTCTGTTGGTTTTATGCACCATCTTTTATTCTTCTCGGGCTCAAGGCAGAACAGTATGCCAGAGGAATGCTACTTGGTTCAGTGCTGGCCTAGAAACACAGTTGATAAATGTTCACCTGGTTAATAAGTGAAAAAATAAATTTCATTTTCGTTTCTGTTTATTTTGAACCCTGCATGCCCACCAAAATTCTAGGTCCAAAGTGGCTCCTTGTTTTTTTACCGAAGGAAGAAAACACTCATTGCCTGATCCTGAGCAAGAGCCCTGTTTGGGGCACCCCTGGCACAATTCTGCATACATTTTGCACACAGATTCATGGGAAAGGCTCACAGTTAGCACTCAAAGAGGAACATTTCTTAATTCTAGCGTCTGCTCCAGAGAACCGAGGGAGCACAAGGTGCCCTTGCTGAATGTGACTCGGACAGGCTCCTAACGGGCACCAACTGGAGAGAGAAACAGTGCTGGTCCTGGGGAGGAAGGTGCCTGTGACTAATGACAGTGCCTTGAAAGCACTGGTCCCGAAGTTCCTGACACCTGGCCCACCACCTGCTGTCCCGGTGCTGGGCTCTGAGTAAGGAAGGACCTCACTGCCCAGCAGGGGCAGGACTAGTGACTGGTCAGGATGCATCCTTACCCAGGATGAGTGAGATCCAGCCTTGACGAGAAACTGGGCCCATGTTTCAGGAATAAGTTATGACTCAGGTATACAGAGAATTAACTCAAGCCTTTGGGCTTAACTTTTTATTACCCTTCTACCTCGGACTTACTTCACTTTAAATTACACAGAGCAGTAGTTCTTAACTATAGTGTGAGTTCACTTGCCGGTTTTAGACAGGGAGAAAGCCATCATTTCATCCTATTAAAGAAATATAACACCATAAACGAGAGAGCATGAAATTTCAGGGAGAAATATTCTTCCTAAGATGCAAATCTGAGACAGGATGATGAGCATTGTCTTTAAAATGCCCGCTGCATTGCGATACCTCAGGAAAAGAGGAAATAGCAGTCCCTAAACCATTACTTCCAGGCCCGCGGTCACTGCACTACTGAAAGCTGTCAATACTTAGAGCACCTGAGCTGAGCTGGGTGAACTCTCCACCTTACACCGTGAAGAGCTCATGACGTCACCGCCCAACCTTCTCGCTACAAAGTACAATCTGATATGGGACGCCACCACACTGAGCTTCTGGAACTTCTGACTATCGCTGTGGTCCTTGACCATGTTATGCAGGTTGGGGACAGTCCCATGAAGTAAGGACAGCTACGTTTTTAAAGGCCATGAATATGACCCAACTCCCTTGGCCTTTATTCATTTTATATTTTTCATAGAAAAAGTACTAACTATTGCCCGGCTGGTGTGGCTCAGTGGTTGAGCATTGACCCAGGAACCAAGAGATTGCTGGTTCCATCCTGATTAGGGCATATGCCTGGGTTGCGGGCTGGATCCCCAGTGGGGGCAGTACAGGAGGCAGCCAATTGATGACCTCCTCTCACATCAATGGTTTCATCTATGCCTCTCCCTTCCTCTCTCTCTAAAAGAAGTACTAACTATTAAGAGACCACACTGCGTACCTTGGCAGCCTTGTTGACTTTGTCTTCGTTTTCTCTCTTGTACACAAACACCGACGCGACTCTGCCATCCTGCAGCTCAGCGGGGAACACGGCTAGTCCTGAGGGCAGTGTGACTGGGGGCCCCTTCAGTGCACAGCTCTTCAGAGCGCTGCTCTCCGCTCCCATCCCTGGGGCGGGGGGCCGCGTGCAGCCCCTCCCCAAAGCCACGGACCTGAAAGGAAACAGAGAACGGTCAAACCTCAAGTCTCTGCAACATGAGCCAAGGATCCAGGCGCAGCCTTGCCAACCTGCCAGTCTCTACAATAACTGAGGCCACCTGACGGTGAAAAGGTGAAGGCTTGGCACGGTCCCAGCGATGCTGCCAGTGACCAGCTGACAGCTCTAAAAAGTGCATCTGAACTGAACAGTTCGTGAAGCAACTGCCGCCAACCCCCAGCACGCACACCTGACATTCAGGGTGGGTGATGGGCAACCAAACACAGACTAGGGTCACTCCCGTCCCTAACCCACTCCACACCCGCCTCACAGGGGAAAGGGTTGCAAAACTGTAGTAATAAAACTTCTCTATATCTAAAATAACTTGCAATTATAAAGAAAACAATACAAACTGGAGACTATTTCTAACAGTGATGAAAACACGTTAACAAATGGGGAGCTCATTTAGACCAAGTAGAACCCCAGGGGAGAACTGGGACAGGAAACAGACAGGGCACTGAATACAAACGACAACAAACAGAAGAAAAAGGGCAGTCCCTCTGCTCTTCAGTGCTGTGCTGAGTAATGAGGGGAAAGTGCAAACTTGTCATCTCAAATGCTAACCCCACCCCCATGCACACACACGAGATTCCAGAAAATGCAAACTACTCTTAATGACACAAACAGACCCATGCTTTCCTGGTGTGGGGGCCCAGTCAGAGGGACCCGGAGGAGACAGGACGGCAAAGGGGAATAAGGAAACTTTGGAGGGGGGAATGGATACATTATCTTGATTATAATGAACATGGTGATGGGTGACTACAAATGTCAAAACTTGTAAAACGGTACCCTTTAAATATGTCCAGCTTATTGTATGTCAATTATACTTCAGTAAAGGTGATTTAAAAAGAAACTTATCCTGTCTGCCTATCCCTATCTAAAGTGCATACGAAAAACATGCTGAAGTGTGAACAGAGCTGTGCCGAGGGTGTCAGATCACGGCGATGCACACGCACGCAGACATGCACAGTGGACCTGCCCCGTCCAGACCTGACTTTACAACAGAGACACAGCTCACAAGGTCACAACAGGTGATGCCCTGCAGCCCAGCAGCACAGGGTCTGTGGTGCAGGCACAGGACCTGCTGTGAGACAACCCTGAGCCCTCACTGAGTGCCAGCCAGGACTGAGGCCCAGAGTTGCCAGGTTGTGCCCTTGATCGGGAGGAGGCAAGAGCCAGCGTATTTATGGGGAAATGTCCGTTTTACAACATTGGCTCAAAAAAATTTATTAATGCCTGTACAGGCCAAACAACATGTCTGAAAAATAAGTGGCAGACTTCAGTTCTGGCTTTACCATCATTTAAAAAATAAAGAGTTCTTACTAATTCTGGCAAACAGATAACATGGCCAAACACTCTATGTAGACCTTTAAAATTTTAGTTTAAAATCTGCCTCCTTTGGATAAATATAAACCAAATAATCATTACACACAGTCCCTCTATTTGGTGAAGACCCACACGCCTTCTGTTATCGGAGTCATGCTACTCCAAACACATGTCTGAGACACACGTGCACCACTGTACAAGGAACACACGGACAAGGGCCAAGGCTAGCCAAAACGGAAGTCTTTCAAAATCCAGGGACCTTCTGGAGATAAAAAGGAAGCTAGGCCCTGGCTGGTGGCTCTGTTGATTGGAGCATTGTCCCATACACCAAAAGGTTGAGGTTCAATTCCCAGTCTGGGCACATATGGAAGGCAACCAATCAATGTTTCTCTCTCATATCGATATTTCTCCCTCTCTAAAATCAGTAAAAAAACATATCGGGTGAGAATTAAAAAAAAAAAGATGGATATCAGCTTTGTATCAAATCCACTGAGTTCCTGCCCACCTAGCAATGCACCTTTCTTAAGAATAGGAGAGTTAAAAACACAAAATAGTATTAAAAGAACTACATGCAACATTCCCCTTTCTATGGGGATGAGAAATGTGTACGTAGGATCATGGAGAAAAGCAACCATGTTAATTCTTATTCCAGAGAAGGTGCAGTGCCTGCCCAGCCGGTGACAAAACTCCAACCCCAGCTGAGCAGGGAGGGTCAAGGGTAGCACTTGGATCTTGCTTTCCTCTTCTTGGACAGTTAATGGGTCACGGGTCTACTCAGCACGGAAGGGCCGTCTCTACACATTAGCCATCTCTGGGGCCTGTGGTCCGGTTGTCTCCCCAGGAATCTGAATGAACAAACGGTGTTTTTGTCCATCAGCAGGTAAAAAGGGCGCCATGAGGTAGTCGGCTACAGCAAGCCAAAGCCACCGGAGGCAGATACCTGGCAGGCACAGAGGAAGCCTGGGGGCATCGGGGCGGGGGAGCTTAGTGGCACTTACGGGGCACGTTGCTCCCCCACAATTCTACATCCATCCCCCGCCGTGCCTCATGCAGGGAGCCTCAGGTACACGCCGGGAGCTGAGGGGTCTGTGTTCTTTGGAACCAGTTGCTGTTTCATAAGCAGAACTCCGCTCCTCTCTCTTCTCTAACACCTCCCGTCTGGTCTGCAAAACCAGTCGGACTAGAGCAATGAGTTCGAGAAGTGTTCCTCTGAGGCGTCTCCCTGAAGCTGGCCTAACTCCTTTAGCCACAAAGGCTTCTGAAAAATCACCAAGAAAATGAAAACCTGCCTCGTGCTGTTTACTTCGTTTTCACACGAATCCCCACAGCAGATAAGGGGGCCACCAGGACCCAGGCCCTGCTCTGGCTGAGTGATTACTTAGTCATTTCCGAACAGCAGATGCTTCCTTGTGGCAATATGGGCCTTGCGACATCTATTCACCTTGGACTCAGTACCAGGAATTCTCCTATGAGATAATTAACAGCGTAGGGTCACAAACTCTTTAGCATGAGGTTAACATGGGTGATTTTTCTTAGCAGTCAACATTTTGGGTCTCAGCCCTAAGAAATATCACTGAAAAACTAAGAGGGAATGACTCCCTTTCTTGAGAGAACGCAAGAGAAAGACGCCATTTCTGAAACAGGTGATGAATGCTGACAGAAGGGCTCTACCCTGTGTCCAGGGGGAAATAAGATGTGCAATTTGAGGATGTCTTAAAGCCAGTAATTCTTAACTTCCACACAATTGTATCCTAAGACACACTAAAGCTGTTGCTCTCAGCAGCGCTTTAGAAACTGTAATTCTTAATTGGGTTCATGTGGACTTACTGCAAGGCGAGACAGTTACACAGTAACACCTGGGTTTCTAAAATGTTCTTTCTTGTTCCGAGGCGTGAGGGGGAAAAGACCAACTCTTTCAGCTTTAAAATATGCCACGGGAAGGCAGAGAAGGCCGCCCTGCCCCTGTGCTGTGCACACGAGTGCTTTGCAGACTCTACCATCTCCTCCTCCACGACACGTTTTATCACGGAGGCTGTTTCTGGCCTGAAGATGCACCACAGTCTTGTCCTGAGAAAGGCGTCAGCCCACCGTCCTCCACCCGCTGGCTTTCCCGGGCGGCACCCCAAGTTTCTGGGCCACCTGTGGACCCCAAAGCTCTGGTCTGGGTCACCGGGCAACTCCAACCAAGAGACCCGCATACCCCGGGGAACAGCTCACCCTGCGCTTCCCCCATCAGCCCGGACACGCGGGCTCCGGGTCCTGGGCGGCGAGAGCCCGGGATAATGAACCTAATGAACTGGCTGCGCTGGGAGCGCCAAGGTCAGCCGTCCGGGCCGGCGTTTTGTCGTCTGGTGACAGCGTGACTCGGGGTCCTCGGCTCCGCTCTGTTTCAGGTGCATCCCCGCCTGGAGCTCGGGGTGACCTGCCAGGGGCCCCCGATACAAACGAAGCCTCGATGGACCCATCACGGGGTCTGACTTCAGCCGAGAGAGGAGACGCGGCGGGGCTGCTCGCGGGTCCTAAAACGGCGGTGCCAGGGAGTCCGGAATTCGGGGCGACTTTGAAGGTGCACGTGGTTTCCTACAAACGTTTCATCTTTATTCTAAACACAGAGCACGACGCACAGACAGGCGGCACCGGGCCTCGGGGGCCAGAGTGCAGGCGGGGTCCCGGGGCG